AGTGCCTTCAGCAGAGGTGACCGCACCTGCACGCCCGTCCCCAGGCCCTGCCTGGCCCCTGGGAACAGCAGGCACATGAGCCCTCAGGGCGGAACACCACTGTGTACTTGCACATGTGTGTGCTCTGCTCGCCCACGGGGCTCTGCTCACACACAGCCCTGGGCCCATGTCAACTGCAACTGTCTGTGCCATGTGGCTGCCTGCACCGTGCACGGCCCACGTGCACAGCCCCCTCCTCAGGGCTCAGCCTGCCCAGCACCCCTGCGGCACGTGTGGTGGTGGGGGGTCAGAGTACTCTCACCTAACAGACCCACTTGATCAGAGCCTGCCCGGAAACTGGGGCGGGGGGTGGTCCTCTGGCCCTCACCAGGAGGGCTGTCAGAGATATCGGGCACTGATTGTTTTTGCAAACCCTCCGAAGCTTCCCCCTTCCTTCCACCCCTTCTCCCTCTGGGGACAAGCGGCTCTTCTGATCTCTTGTGGGCCCCCAGAAGCCCTGGCTGTGGCTCGAGGGAGGGGTGGGGGCCACAGAGCAGCCATGGGAGAGTAGAGATGCAGGAACAGAGGAGAGAGGCAGGATGTGAGGGCTGTGGGAGGCAGAATCGGTCCAGAGAAGACAGCAGAGACAACAGCAGGAGAGCCCCAGGGCTGGTGTCTGAGGGTGGGCTCGGGGGGAGGGGGCTCGAGAGAAGTGGGGCATCCCAGTGACTGTCAGCGAGAGGGAGCCATGTGTGCCCAGGAGACCCGGCCCCGGCCTCCCGAACGGGGCAGCCAGGTGCCCCCCAGGAAGGGCCAGCCTGGATGCAGACCCCCACGGGGCAGAGACTGGGGCGCCTTCTGAAGCCACAAAGGCAGAAGCAGGAAGCTCAGGGGAGCAGGTGAGGGCGTCCCCTCCGGCCGCTGCCCTGGCTGGCTGCCCACCTGGGGGGAGCAGGTGAGGGCAGGGCATGTTAATACCTGTAGATGGGGTCCATGAAAAAGGGCGACGGCTTGGCGTAGTGCAGGGCGGGCTGCTGGGGCAGCTGCGCTGGGCAGGCCTTGGGCAGCCCCTCGCCGGCCCCCAGCCTGCGCTCCCCATAGACGTGGTTCTTGCGGGGCTCGCGGCCCCCTCCGTTCTGGCTGGCCCGTGCGCGGCTGCCGATGCTCAGGTCCAGGGGCTGCTCCTCGCCAGACGCCAGGGCCGGGGGCACCCTGGGCGCCGGTGGGACGGGCTTGGCCTCTTTCGGTCTGGTGGTGAGGTCGAAGGGGGACTCGGCGCTGGGGCCGCCCGCCTTGAGGGCATCCCGGGGAGACTTTGGCTCGGCCTTGACCAGCAGGTTGTGGGCGAGGGCGCGGTCGGTGAAGGGGCAGAGGGAGTGGGGGAAGCTGGGCAGGAACTGGAAGGGGAACACTGAGGGGTAGGGCAGAGCGCCCAGCTTCTTGTCCTGCACGCCCAGGAAGCCCGGCCCGAAGTACTTCTCTGCGATGGACGCAATGGCCTTGATGGAGTCGCCCGCGGCGCCTGACGCCGTCAGCAGCTGCTCCTCGGGCGGCGGGAAGAAGTGCTGGGAGTAGAAGACGGGCACCTCGCCCACGCCGTGCGCGC